CCCTCCTTGGGTCTTATGGAGGGACCTACTAGGGCAACAAAGGCGGCTGAGCAGACTCAGGGCTGCCTTTCGAGGGGTGCTGTCTACAGGGAGAGCTGCCTCTCCTCTCTGGGCAGATGTGAAGGCTGGACACCAGAGGGAGAACACTGGCCCTCCTGAGACATTCTGACTTGTCCTCCTCTTGGTCATGGAGGCTTCTGGGAGGGTTTGCCTCAGTGCTGGCAGAAGCAGACCTAAGTAGATGCAGTGGTGAGTGGCATTCCTCACCACTACAGTGCCCACAAGGTAGGGCTGGGCACCTGCTCCCTGGAGTAGGCAGCTGCGAAGGTGCTTCCAGGAGCCAACTGTGCAGTGGTTCTGCTGGCTGCTGGGGTCACAGTTCCTCTAGGAGATACTGGCTGGACTCGGGACACCCAGGTGAAGAGCTCAGGGACTCCAGGGGAGGTGGGTATGGACGCTGCACCTCTAAAGCATCTCCTCTCTTTTCTCTCCTCATTGCATTTTGAGCCCCTCAGAGGCAGGACCCTGGTGAGATTTTCCCCTTTTCTCCCCAGGACACAGTGGGTATATCCAAGGCCAGCTGGACTGAGCTGCTTCACAGGAAAGTGAACTTCCCAGTGTTTGACCTCCTGGTGCCTGTCTTCGAGCATCACAGCTAGCCAGTTTAGGTTCTGCTACTGGGAATGTTGGTTCTGAGTGTAGCCTACATGTACTGTGTGTGTGCATGCACTGCGTGTGTGTGTGTGTGTGTGTGTGTGTGCGCTTGTGTTTGTGTGTATCTGGGAGTGGCATCCTGCCAGGTTTGGGGAGCACCGGGTGCTTTCTTTTCACTGGGATCAGGCCCCTTGGAGCATAGGGACTGCCCGTCAGGGGCACTGCCTCTTGTATACCAGCTTCCTTTGGAGGCCAGCAGTTGGTATGGCTGCGACTCAGGGATGCAGCAAGCTCCTCGACCTGGCGTTTGGGTGGCATGCTCACTCACTTCAGGGCTATGAGGCAGCAGGCCTACAGGGGTACCACAAGCACCCCCTTCCAGGGAGCATGGCTTCCCCTCCTTCCAGGTTAGGCGAGTGGGCTGGGGTCGGGGGGAGCCCCCTGTGTGTGGATGCCCTGGCTTCCTCGGTGTGGGCGGGAATCTGTATGTTAGAAGGTGGAGGTGGCCTGTGGTTGGAGTATTGCCAGGAGCTATTAATAGCTGAGTGTGTAAAGAAGCAGAGTCTGGGAAAGAGAGGAATAGGGGAGGCCCCTGGGTCTGCAGCTGGCAGCAGAGCCCTGTGGTGAGGGAGGCCATGGAATGGCACATAGGGCTCTGAACACAAAGCTCTTGTAGGCATGGTGTGACTTGATGGGCTGGGGGTCATACTGGAGACTTGTGTTACGAGGAATTGTCATAGGCAGTAGGGGGCAGGTGTGGCTCTAATGTAATAGCCAAGTGTGCCAGGCATTGTTCTAACCACTCTTAAAGTGCATTAACTCATTTAGTTCCTGCAGCTACCCTCGGATGTAGGTGCTGTCATTACCCCTTTCACAGATTGGTTAGGTAGCTTGCGTAGGACTTGAAGTCTGGCAGACTCATGGCTGCCATTTTTCTCTGGGTTGTCTGTAGGAGGATCTGGTCAGATGGTGGTCAGGTGACATCTTTTTGTTTTTTTGAGATGGAGTCTCGCTCTTGTCGCCCAGGCTGGAGTGCAATGGCATGATCTCGGCTCACCGCAACCTCTGCCTCCTGGGTTCAAACAGTTCTCCTGTCTCAGCCTCCTGAGTAGCTGGGACTACAGGCACCCGCCACCACACCTGACTCATTTTTATATTTTTAGTAGAGACTAGGTTTCACTACATTGGCGAGGCTGGTCTTGAACTCCTGACCTCAGGTGATCTGCCCACCTCGGCCTTCCAAAGTGCTGGAATTACAGGCGTGAACCACCGTGCCTGGCCCAGGTGACATCTTGAACCCTTGGGTCCTTTGAGATTTGGAACTTTCAGCCTCTTCACTTGGGTCCTGCCCATGGTAGTGGCAAAAGGGTGGTCTCTGCCTTATCGGCTTGGAGAGAGGAGGTGGCTCTGTTGGCCTCCTTGTTTGGACTCCTAGCTCAGCAGGCGGGCTTGCTGCTTGTCTGAATGGAGATGGAAACTCTTTGAGGACCTAGGGCTTGGGTTGCAGGCTGAGGCCATCCCTCCTTGTCCCTTCTTTCAAAATCCAGCTCTAGCCCTGATACCTACACCCTTCTGTCTGTCTGTCTGTCCATCCATTTGTGATCTGTTTGGAATGATTCTGCCATGTAGGACAGCAAAGGTCCTGCCTTGGTCAGCTTTCCAGGCTTGTGGAGAAACCTGACATTTAGAAAGCAGTTGTCGAGTACATGTATAATGTTTTATTTCTCATACAAGTGTTTGTTGTGTTATTTCCTCTTGGAGATAAGTTTTGATTATGTTATCCTTTTTGGTTATGGTACACTTTTTGGATGTCTGAAATGTTTCTTTAAGCAACAACAGGCCATTAGTCAAGGGTGGTTAAGTTAGGCGACAGGGAAGCACAAGGGCCAGTGGAAGTAGAGAGCTTGCCTGGTCTCAGGGGAGAGGGAAGAGCTGAAATCCAGAGAAAGGTGGGGAACGTTACAGCCAGAGCTGGTAACTTATGACTTACGCTAGGCCTAGAAGCCCAGCTCATTCGAGGGTATGACATTATGGTATGGCTGCAGTGAGGGGAGGAAGGTAGGGGAGTGCCCAGCTCCCCTGTCTGCAGTGCAGCTTCACGGCTGGCCCCACAAGTCTCAGGCCTCCACGGACCCCACTAGAACTGCTGCCGAGGATGCAGTGGGGCCCAGCCTGGGGAGGGGGGGGCCCTGTGGCCTCTGGACAGGGTGCTTTGAAAAACCCTGCCATTGGATGCTGCTACAGGCAGACAGGGGCATCGTAGGTGCAAGCCTCAGACCTGGCCCTGGTGTGCTTGCTCTCCCTTTGGTCTGCTACCTCCACTCCACCCTCTCGGGTTCTCCCCCTAAACCTTAAAGCCACATGCTTGATGAAGGGCCTGGCTGGGGAAGCCAGTGTGTATCTTTGTAAGCCTCTCTGTGGACCCTGAGGCCCTTTCTTTGGAAGAGGCTGAGTCCCAGCTGACTGACTGGTCAGGAGGCCGTGTGTTTTCCTTTCGCAAGTGTCAGAGCCTAGGCCGTACGGTGCAGGATGGCCAGAGCTGTGGCTGGGCACTACCATTCTGACTGGGGGATATTTCGGACCTTGGGTGCTACCTGGATCCTTGAGATTCGTTGCTTGCTCCTGCACCTGGAAGAAGCATCCTGTCACTGCAGGGAGATGCCGAAAGGGGCTGGGTTTGATAGGGGAATGGCCGCTCCTGTTGGGGGGCTTCTTTCACCTGACAACCAGTCAGTGTCCTTCTCCCTGGGGTATACCCTGGGAAATCATGCTCTTTCCTCATGAAGGCCAGCAGTGCGGGTGGAGAGGAGAGTGAAGATGTCCTTGGGCTACGCTAGTATTCAGGTGCTTTGTCTCCCCCAGGGTCAGGGCAGGATCCGTGATCTTGCCACTACAGTCAGCCTTTCAGGCTGATGGTGAAGTAGGGCTCTTGGCTGCCGGTGGGCTGGCTGGCTGGTGGGATTGACCCTCACCCCTCTGTCCTTCCTGGGACAGAAATAGTGGTAGGAGAAGACCAACCAGGGGTGGTGCCAGGTCACTGGCTTACAGTGGGCCCAAGAAGTGTGGACAGGGTGGCTGCATGCTCAGTGCTAGTTCCCTGTCGGGTGTCTGCATGGGGTTCTGGCAGTGAGGTTGTAAACACCATCACCTCCCTCTATTGTGGGCGGCCTATAAAGGAGTGATGGCAGAGCTCTCAGACAGAACCAAACCTCCTTTGGCATCTCCATACTCTTTTCCATCTCAGGGCTGTGTGGTTCCTGGGGGTCGTAGGGGTAGGTGGGGCGGGGACTGGAGATTGTTTTGTAGGGGATGGTGAGGAAGATGGATTTGGGGAATGTTCGAAACCAAGTTTGAAGGAAACTGTTTGAATGGGCAGGTGGGGGTTGAAGTGGCTGTGCACCTGGATGGCACTTCCTGCAGCAGGTAGAAGGGGTTCAGCAGTGATGAGGAGTGCGCTGGGGTCACCAGGAGCCCAGCAGGAGAATGATCCATGATTGTAGGTTGGGCCACCAGCTAGCCCTTTTCTGCCCGAGGCACATATTCCCCTTGGTGACTGTGGGAGGCTTACCCTGCACATGCAGGCCTCATTCCTTATGTTCTCCAGCCTGCCGCGTACCAGGTGGGGTTGTTGGGTTTGGAAAGGACGCGTGGAGGGTCCTTGCTTCCCATTCAGTATGGGTGGGGAGTTGTGGAGGACCCACTGGCATGATTTCCCTGGAACACTGTGGTGAGAAGGGGACAGAGACAGGAGCAGCAGGAAGCAGCTCCCCTTTGCATTTTCCCAAGTGGTCCCTGAGATCTGTATCACAATCACCTGAGACGGACAGGGGTGGTTAAAAGAACATATTGTGCCCCCATTCCCATTGAGATAGTTCTGGATTGGGCCTGGCAATATGTATCCCCTCCCCGACAGCTCCAACATACAGTGATTCTGATGTGCACTAGGGTTTTAAGGACCCCTTCATCAGTTTCTGCTGCAGCCATGAAGTAATGCTCACCCGCTCCAAGGAGCCTCAGGTGTTGTTGCCCTTTATGTGCATGTTGCCTCTGTCTGTCTAGCTGATTATCCATCCTTCTGTGGCATTTGGTTTCCTGCCTCCTCCCTTTTGCTTAGGCCTAGGGGCAGCTGCGATGGGGTGCAGAATGAGATGGGGGCTGGTGCTGGCTGGCCCACATAAATTAAGAGGTGTTGGACGAATGGGTGGTCCGTGTCCAGGGGCGAGTGTAGGGGTGTTGGTGACCCCAACCCACTACCCAGTCTTCCTCCCTCAGGGTAGCCTGACACCCGGGGTTTGGGTGGTGGTCCCAGGGGCACGCTCAGTGGTTCTCTTTTCTCTGGGGCACAGGCTCTGGGCGTGGGGAGGCTGAGACACGGGAGTGCATCTACTACAACGCCAACTGGGAGCTGGAGCGCACCAACCAGAGCGGCCTGGAGCACTGCGAGGGCGAGCAGGACAAGCGGCTGCACTGCTACGCCTCGTGGCGCAACAGCTCTGGCACCATCGAGCTCGTGAAGAAGGGCTGCTGGCTGGACGACTTCAACTGCTACGATAGGTACCCCGTCCTCCCCCCTCCTTTCCTCTTGGGCCCACCTGCACTTACACTGCCCGCTGGGCCGTTTGGGTCTCAGGATGCGCTGAGCGGGAGACGAAGGACCAGAAAGGGGCTCTTGAGATGGGAGCCAGGGCCCCACGCCCTTCCGTATCCTATTTGTCCTGTCCCAGCCCTGAGGAGGGGTCTCAGTGAGTGTCAAGCCCTGGCTGTTCTCCTTGGCTTTGGGTCTCCTATAGGGGAGGTGGGTTCACAGTGTCCCTCTGATGTTTCCCACGAGGTGCTCTGTCTGTGAGGAGGGGTTGGCGGGGCAGACCTGGGGGAGTCTTGCATCCCCCAGGTGACGGGTGTATGGAAAATTCTGTGCCTCCAGGCAGGAGTGTGTGGCCACTGAGGAGAACCCCCAGGTGTACTTCTGCTGCTGTGAAGGCAACTTCTGCAACGAGCGCTTCACTCATTTGCCAGAGGCTGGGGGCCCAGAAGGTGAGAGGGCAGTGGGAAGTGGGGCCCTGAGTCGGCTGACCTGGGCCTCTTTGGATTGGAGCTCTTGGCTTCTCTGTTGGGTGGGGAGTGCCTAAAGGGCCCTGTAGTCTGGCTCTGGAGGTGTGAGGGTGGGCGGGCTGTTTGACGCAGGGCTCCGTGTGTCCCCTAGTCACGTACGAGCCACCCTCGACAGCCCCCACCTTGCTAACGGTGCTGGCCTACTCACTGCTGCCCGTCGGGGGCCTTTCCCTCATTGTCCTACTGGCTTTCTGGATATACCGGCATCGCAAGCCCCCCTACGGCCACGTAGACATCCATGAGGTGAGACAGTGCTGGCTTGGGGCAGGGCAGGGTAGAGGTGGGGAGGACAGGCCAGACCTTATTAAGCTTTGCTCTCCCCCAGGACCCTGGGCCTCCACCCCCATCCCCTCTGGTGGGCCTGAAGCCACTGCAGCTGCTGGAGATCAAGGCTCGGGGGCGCTTTGGCTGTGTCTGGAAGGCCCAGCTCATGAACGACTTTGTAGCTGTCAAGATCTTTCCACTCCAGGTGAGTGAGTGAGGGGCTCCATCCAGGTCCTATACCTCCACTGTAGCTTGAACTGGAGCCTCTCCTGCCCTGGAGCAATCCAAACCCCGATTATCTTGTGGTATGAGAGAAAAGAGCCTTACTGGGCATAGTTACTCATGTTACACTTGGCTCGTCTGTAGGTTTCATGCAACTGTGGGATTTTATCATAGGACTAGGGTAGGGCTTTGCAAAACCTTGATTTACCCCGGTTTCTAGGGTTTTGTTTTTTATATCAGGTTCTTTCCAGAGGCCCTGGACACCAGGTCTGGCTCTGACTGTCATTCCTTGAGTGATACTGTGTCACTCCTTATCTGTGGACCTTTGATTTGTAAATCAAAGTGCTAGCCTTACCTTAAGTCATCTTGGGGTCACTATTGGCCTAATGCTCAGGGGCCTAACTTAATACCGGTCCTCTCCTGGTCCCCTTACAAATGCTGAAGCTGGTAGGATGGGGGTTGGGGAATGGGGAATAGGGAATGGCTTTTCTGCTGCAGGGCACTGTGGCTGTAGCAGGGCTAAGTCAGCCACCTGTCCCCCCAACCCCTCGCCCCCGGCCTCAGGACAAGAAGTCGTGGCAGAGTGAACGGGAGATCTTCAGCACACCTGGCATGAAGCACGAGAACCTGCTACAGTTCATTGCTGCGGAGAAGCGAGGCTCCAACCTTGAAGTAGAGCTGTGGCTCATCACGGCCTTCCATGACAAGGTGAGCCACATGCCTCAGAATGCACTCTGAGAGGAGATGGAATGTCCCCTTGGTATCTCTCCATAAGACCCCTGCCCTGTGGAGGTGTCCATGACCCCATTAGCACTGTCTGTGATGAGGTTAACCCTGCCATAGGTGTGGACATAGGTGCCCCTGTGATAGGAACCTCCCACCCTGGGATAAGTTCTTATTGATAAAAGCAGTGGCTGCATGGTTCCCAGCCCCTAGCCCTCCCCGCCTCCGGGCCTCATCTGTCTTCCATGTCAATTGTAGTAGCCTCCCAGGAATGCAGCCTAGCCATTGGCCCACTGAGACTTCCCTGCCAGGGCTGGTCTGGATCCTGTCCTGTACCCAGAGCCCTTGCTCAAGTCCTGTGCTGCCTTCTCTCAGGGCTCCCTCACAGATTACCTCAAGGGGAACATCGTCACATGGAACGAACTGTGTCACGTAGCAGAGACAATGTCACGAGGCCTGTCATACCTGCATGAGGACGTGCCCTGGTGCCGTGGTGAGGGCCACAAGCCGTCTATTGCCCACAGGTACCTGAGTCGGGAGGTGCCTTTCCTGCACTTGGCCCAGAGCTGTAGGGAGGGTTGGTGGGAGCGAGAGCAGTGTCTGGGATGTCTTAACTTCCTACACATACTTACTCTGCTTGCTGCTGTCCAAGGCAGCTGGGCACAAACCTGGCCTTCCTGCTGTGTCCTGGGGATGGTATGGCCTCCCAAGCTGGTTTTTGGTGCCCTCTAATGGCCACATGAAGTGCTGATTCCATTACTTTGGTTGGAGAGTTGGCTCAGTAATTCTGAAATTTTCTAGTTTAGGACCCGTGTATACTCTTAAAAGGACTTTTGTATAAGTGGATTATGTCCATTGATACTTGCTGTATTCGAGCACATCCACACATCCTATTAGCTGTCAGAGTGATGACATCACATCTCATGTAGTCTCTGGAAAACTCTTTATACTCCCAAGAGAATGAGCCTTAAAAAAGCAAGTAAATGAAAATAATTTTGACTTTATAGATTCCTTTGGAACAGAGTCAGAGCTCTTCTGGGGTCCCCAACCATACTTTAAGAAACGCTGGATGAGCTTATCACTGTCATGCTTACTAAGTGGCAGGCAGCGCTCTAAATAGTTGAGAAATACCAGTTCATTTAACCTTCATTACCACCCATTGAGACAGGTACTGTATTTCTCAGCTGTGACTTACAGATGAAGGAACAGTAGTACAGAGAAATTGAATGACTTAGCCAAGGTCCTGTAGCTAGTTGAGTCTGGTTCTGTGACTGTGAGAGAGGGGACTGAACCTCAAATTCCAGCATGCAAAGCTGAAGGATCCCTGATGGTAGTGACAGTAATGACATAGAAGGTTGACTGTATGAAAGTGCAGTTTTTGTAGCTCAAAAGGTTGGATGTTGTCTCCACTGTATGGCTCAACCTAATAGGAGTACCTAGTAAGTATGCCAGCCGTGGCCCTAAGAATTCACACTTCTCAGTCGAATCCTCACAAAGCCGAGGCAGCCACTGGGGAAATTGAGCAGCACAAGTGGCTTAGCTTATTAGAGGTGGACCTGGGTACACACAGCAGCACCCCGTTCCACTCCACTGTGGTGGTGAGCTCAGGGCCCTAAGGGGCCTCTGCAGGATCCTAGGAAAGGTAATACTAAATTCCTGTTCTCGTTCACATGCCGAACACTGTAAATTCTTCTCAGAACACTCACATTCTAGGCCAGTGTGCCTGTCCACACCGCTCTGAGAACACATGGGCTGCCCTTTGATAGTGTGCGGACTGGGCCAGGGTGTGCCCAGCCATTAGGGGAGGTATTGCTTTGCCAACCCTGGTGGAAGCCAGCACCTCCATCTGAGGTGCACAGAGGGATTCTCGCACCCATGCGGGCTCCAGTAGTGGCCTGCCTGTGCTGCTTCACCTCTGTGCTCCATGACTTGGTCTGGGGGCTGACTCTAGGGCATAGACCCTAGTACCTTTGGAACCAAGGTGGGAGTTGGATCCTGAAGTTCAGCTTTATCTCTGCCCTCTTGTCTCCATAGGGACTTTAAAAGCAAGAATGTATTGCTGAAGAGCGACCTCACAGCCGTGCTGGCTGACTTTGGCCTGGCTGTTCGATTTGAGCCAGGGAAACCTCCAGGGGATACCCACGGACAGGTAACAGGCCTCACAGGGCAGGAAGAGAGGGGCAGGCCCCGGGAAGACGCTTTGCCCTTCTGTGCTCAGCTGGTGAGGTACAGGGAGAAGGGTCACTGCATGTGTTCAGAGCTGTCTGAGAACTCAGAACAATGCTCTTGTTTGACCAGTGGAGAAACCAAGACCAGGAGGGCGGTGTAGCGTAGCTTCCCCAGGACAGTCAGCTGGGAAACGTAGAGATTTCCCCTTGGGGTTTTGACCACTAGGGCTCGTAATCTTAATGTTTCTCTCACTTTTTTAGTTTTAATTCTTGAGATAAAACAGAAAGAAATGTACTAAGGATTCAAACAAAGAACCTGGAAAAAGTAACTAAAACTTCAATTTAGGAAATCACTCCTAAAACAATCACTATTATTTATTTTTAAGTATGCTCCTTCCCTGTTTTTTTTTGTTTTGTTTTGTTTTTGGGTCTTAACCTCAATAAAATACACATCATTGTATTTGGTAACAATTCCATTTTTAGATTACTATTATCTCCAGGATATGGTATTTAAAAATTATCATCACCCAAGTGTAGTTGGTCCTGTGACCTCTTGTAACTGCTGTGAATGTGGTGAATCGAGGTTTGCCATCATTGATAACCTGCCAAATTGCTCTGTTTTGCTTCCATCTGGTGCACAGAGGATGTAGCTCCCATGTCCCAGCTGTGTGTGGCCAGTCACTGTATGTGTATGGCCAGTCACTGTAAACCCCGCCCTCCTCTGTCCCCACATAGGTAGGTACGAGACGGTACATGGCTCCTGAGGTGCTCGAGGGAGCCATCAACTTCCAGAGAGATGCCTTCCTGCGCATTGACATGTATGCCATGGGGCTGGTGCTGTGGGAGCTGGTGTCTCGCTGCAAGGCTGCAGATGGTAAGTAGGATGGCAGCCCTGGGCATTCTAGGTTGGGGGATAGAGAGCAGTGGGACCTTGGAGTGATCCTGCCAGGCTCTCTCTGACTCCTAGGACCTGTGGATGAGTACATGCTGCCCTTTGAGGAAGAAATTGGCCAGCACCCTTCATTGGAGGAGCTGCAGGAGGTGGTGGTGCACAAGAAGATGAGGCCCACCATTAAGGATCACTGGTTGAAACATCCGGTAAGGGGCCCAGCGCAGGCGACTCTGCAGCGGGGTGGAGAAGGGAAAACCCTTCACATGCAACAGGAAGCTGAAATCTAGTGGGAATGGGCAGAGAAAGTCTGCTACGTTCCCTGGATTCTAGGGATGTGTTCCAGGGGCTGTGGGGAGTAAGGTAGGGGGATGATCTCCTTCTCCAGATCCCTGCTTTGACTGAACTGCTGCCTTTTGGGCCCTTGCATGGTTTGGGCTTTGAATAACATTTCGATTGAATATCAGTGCTTACAGGCAAGTAGCCATGTCTGCCCCAGTAGGGGCCTGGATGTCTCCTTCTCCCTCCTATGTATGTTGAGGTTCAGTGAACCTTTCCTAGGGCTGTGGAGGGTAGCCAGTAGGCCAGGAAGATGACTGCCATGAAGGCAGGCATGCTGATTCCTGAAGTTTTCCCCAGGCCCCTGCTGGTGGACCTGCTGCTGTGGTTGGGGCTGGTGGGCTCTGCCTGATCCTTGGGAGCGTCATGTTTACTGTCCCCCAAGCTTTTCCTCATTGAAGGGGCCTAGCAAAGCTGTCTTTCCCGTCTCTCCTCCGCTGCTCAGGGCCTGGCCCAGCTCTGTGTGACCATCGAGGAATGCTGGGACCATGATGCAGAGGCGCGCTTGTCCGCGGGCTGTGTGGAGGAGCGGGTGTCCCTGATTCGGAGGTCGGTCAACGGCACTAGCTCGTTTCCCTGGTGACCTCTGTCACCACGGTGGACCTGCCCATAAAGAATCAAGCATCTAAGCCCAGGACGCGAGTGTCTGTCCAAACTCAGTGGATCTGAAGAAAAAAGGAAAAAAAAGTTGTGTTTTGTTTTGGAAATCCCATAAAACCAACAAACACATAAAATGCAGCTGCTATTTTACCTTGACTTTTTATTATTATTATTATAATTATTATAATTATTATTATTAATATTATTTTTTGGATTGGATCAGTTTTTACCAGCGTATTGCTCTACTGTATCACAAACAGCGGACACGTCAGCAGGCGTTGAGGTGCTGAGCTGTGAATGCAGAACCAGTGCCGTGCTGAAGAGCCTCAGCCACCTCGTGTCCCTTGGGATTCATTTTTCCCGCTTTCTCTTTGTTCGTCGTCTCAGTATCTGTGACACAAAGAAACCCATCTCCTGTCTTAGGAAACCTAATGCTGCAAACTCTACCTAGAGGAACCTTTGAAGACTGTTACATAAGAACATACCTTCCTCAGAAGAGGAGTTTCCTCTGCCCTCTGCCCTCCTCCCCTCCCTCTTCCCTACCCTCCCTTTCATTTTGTTTTAGTGAGCTTAAGAAACAGCAGATGCGTCTTTCACGGATCTAACGGGTGTTGTCCTGAGCGAGAAGAAAACTGGGATGAGAATGGTTTGGACTGGAGTTGGAAGGGGAGGACAGTGCTGGGGTAGGGTTTGGGACAGAGCTACACTGGACTCGGGCACATTTGGAGCAGCATCCTTTGCTATGGAGGCTACTTCTCAGGTAACCAGGAATCGAGGGGAAGGACCTTGTGGAGGCCGAGCATTAGCAGTCAGAGCGGGGTTTGGAGAAAGCCTGAGACTCGGGGCAGCCCTGACTTATCTGCTGGCCCTGACCAGTTTCTTTTCACTAACTTGGCCTTGGGCATAGGATGAAACATTTTTTTTCTGCCCTAATTTTAAAATTAGGTGAGGGTAGAATCATCACAATGTAGTGAATACATTCTTCATGAGACACAATGCTGTAAATACCCTTGATGAAGGAAAAGCTGAAATACTTTTGTTTCCTCTTGGAGCAGTTCAGGGAAATGCCCACAGGGGGTCACCCCGCACAGACAGGGCAAGAGGATTCCTGGGTGGAGTCTGCCAAGGCCTGTCTGTCTGGAGACCCCAGAGTCCTGCAGTTCTGGTTCCACCCCAGGTGGTGACATTACTGTCCCCTTTCTGTGGCTTGTGGACAAGATTTTCTCCAGACCCCTTAAAGTGGTACATATTCTAAAAAACGGTTTTTCTATTATGCCATACTTTGCTCTAGTCAGTGAATGTTCCTAATGCTGCTGTTTCAACATTGGATTTTTTCTTTAATTTATGAAACATGCTAATTTTTTGTTTTTCAAACAAAACACACATCCACATATACACATGCTTTGTTATGTGGCTTCCAAGGTTTAAATTTTGAAAAGTAAAAGAATTAAAACTTCACGACCACAGATCACCTCAAACCAGAAATACCTCAGAATTTTCTACCTGTGTAAGGTTTATTATATATTTTGTTAGTTGTGTTGTCTTGTAGTGAGTATATTTTAATGTAAGTTGGCTTTTATGACAAGGAAGTTTAAAAGAAATAGAGAAAAAGAAACAAGTTTGCATCTTTTAGGAAGTGCTACCATTTTTGTTGGAGAACGCCCTCTTGTAAATAGTTGCCATCAGCTGTAGGTTGGCTGTCCGGGCCAAGCCTGGGCATTCATCAGTCTTGTTTGTGAAGGCTTTTCCTAATGGTTTCTTTAGATCATTTTATTTAAAAGTAGTCCATCTCTTCATCCTGAGGGTAGGCTAGGTGGGGGCCATGGGGAGAGGTTGACCTGGTGAGAACTGAAAAGGCCTCCCCCACTTGGGTTGTTGGGAGCTTCACATGTAATACATGTGATCGGTCAGTGTTCAGAATGACAGGTAACTCCACTTAAACTTGGTAGAAGGATGGCCCTTAGACCTGCATGGGGTGATTTTACTTGAGATTTGACTTCTTCAGCAAATTAGCAGCAACGTTGGAAGAGATGTGTGGCGACTCTGTGAAGCACACCGTGGCTCGGGCCAGTCGTCTAGCGCAGCGTGTCTGGGAGTGAAGGGTTTCGCCCTGGCGGGTCTTGGAGTCCATAGTATTGGGGGGACTGTACACGCCAGGTCATCTACCTGCCATGCTCTGTGCAAGGTCTGGGGCTTGCTGCCCCAGGCCCTTTCCTGGGTGTTGGGGCACAGGGGGCTGTGTGAGGCCCATTTGCTTCCCTCTCAGAGCTCAGTTTTTGCTTCATGGGTCAAAACGTGGGCTGGCCAAGTAGTTACAGGAACAGGGTTTTGGTAAGCTATGTTGTCTTTTTTTTTTTTTTTTTTTTAATGGTTTGATTTTGTGCTGTGGTATTTTTCTTCCCTTGGAATAATTTTTAATGGCAAAACAGGCCTTACAGCAGTTGCTTTTCTTTTCCACTTATTTCATTAAGAAGCTTTAAATATTGATTGAAAAGTGCCATATCTAATTTCTTCAGCTTTCTCCTCAGGCACTGCCAGCATCTTTACTTTTCATCCTCAGAAGAAACAAACCACTAACAAATGTAGCAAATTCACTGCAGGAGAAGTCAGATGTGATACTGCCTGAACACTAAACCCCAGCCTCGGTTCGGTTTTGCTTCCTCTGGGGGGTTTTTCTTTTGGGTGCTGGCTTGATTCTTGTGAGAAGTTCTAACCTGGCCAAGCAAGGGTTGAGCCATGGTTCTGGTGTGGGACTTTGTGGTCGGGACACGGTACAGACAGGTCAGGCCTGCATGCCTTTTCCCTGGGTGGCCTCCCTGTAGGCCCACCCCACACTCGGCCACTGTGGTGTCCCTGTGGGGCTTTGCCATCAGATGGTGTGTCAGGAGATGGAGCCTGTTTGGTGTGGCTGGGGAGGGGGCAGTCCATACCAGTTCTCTGGGCTTTAGGCTGCTCTTCCCCTCACTCGTGGTGTAGGGTGCACCCATCAGGCAGTGTATCTGGCTGCTGATGGCAAGAAGAAGGTGGGGGATCTTCTTACAGGGCATGGCTCTTGGAGCACAGGTGGGCCTTTTGCTCCAGGTAAAATGATTGTTCGCTGTCGTGTGTTCTTTGAGGAGCAAGCCATCTGGAGCTCTACTTTTGAGTTTACTCGGCCATAGAGCCTCTGCCTGTGCTCTTTTCCATAAAGACTTCATGTGACCTGCACTTTTGGGGAGCTCAGATAATTGCTTTCTTTTTGTTTTTGACCTCAGGCTCTGTGAAAGACTGGGGAAATGGGGCCTGGTATCATTTTCCCTGTCAGTGGAAGGGGCTGTTCCATGCAGGGTGGGAGGGGACCAAGTTAGCAGAGTATAGCCAAGGATCCTTGCTTCTTCCTTTCTAGTGTGCTATCATCGAAGCAGTCTCCTGACTGTAGGGATGGGCCTTGGGGAAGAATCTTCTCTGAAAGTGTCTGTGATAACTGGGAAGTCATCCTAAGCTAGAGAAATCCAGCAATGAGCAGGAGGAGGAAGAAAGTGATGGCAGAGGCCATTGTGTTACAGTGTCCTGCAGAGGGCTGTCAGTGATGGGGCGTTAGGGAAGGCCACGACATAGTAATCACAGCTTCCTGGCTTGCCATATGCTGGCTTTTCTCCTGGGACCATTGGTCCACAGCAGGAGCTCTTTGCTTGAGTTGCTTGGGGGACATGGGCTCTCCTGGGGAGAAAGTCACACCTGGCCATGAGGGAAGATGCTGAGCATCATTAGCCCTCTTGTCCTGTCTGCTCTGGAGAGGAGCCTGTGGGAATAGTCCTGTCTGGGGAGGGCATACCTACACATGCCAGCTGATTCTGACTCTGATCCTGTCTGGACTTGCGGCGGGGGCGGGGGGGGGCGGGGGGGGGTTCTGCAGAACAAGTAGGTTGTCGTCCAGACTTGAACATCTTCAGGAAGATAGAGACTTCTGCTCACGTAGGCTTAGCAAAAGGAAGGGTCTCTCATCTCCAGGCCACATTGATAGTTCTTCCATTGCCCTAAGAGGCTAGGCTGACCCTCTCGAAAGAACTTAGACAGCAAAGCACTTCCTCCTGTAGTTGGGCTCTGTCACTTTTCTCTTCAGTTGGCCGCATTCTTGTTTCCTCTATCCTGCTCCTGTGCCCTGTGTGCTCGGGCTGTGTGTGTGGGTCTTTCCCTGGTGGAAGGAAGCCCAGCTGTGTATTGAATGTTCTTCATGTGCTGTGTGTGACTCAGAAAGCCTGTCACATGCCCCCTGTGCTCTGAGCCTTGAGGGCGGGGAGGCGGCTGTTGCATTGGAGTGCGAGTATTGGATGGCCCTCTTGAAAATACAATTTTGCCTTTTTGAGTATGCAGTATAAAGTTCCCAGCACCTATTGGTAACACAGGGTTTGCTGGTTTTTAAAATAATACAGTAAGCAGAAATATGTAAGGTTTTAGAATTGGTACTAGAAGTTGGACGGCTAGTTATTATTCTCGAGAAGTTGATTTCACTAGAAAAATACACTAATTGGAAAGCAGTTTTCAGGAGTTTGATTTTCAGTCTGTTATTTCAGCCTGTTGAGTTCTTGATGGCACACCTTTGGAGAGATGGCCAGAACCTCATACCCATTTCAGGGGCATCAGACTGTACGTTTTTCAGAAGCTCCGTAGATCTGTTCATCTACCTGCCATCCTGGTTGAACAGCCAGAAAGAGAAGGGGACAAGGTGTCTTTTTCTACTTCTCACTGGGGTGACATGAATTCTTTTTAGTGAGTGGCTGTTTGCAAATTCTAAACTAATAAATAACAGCTAACATGTTCAACCTAGTAGTGATGAGTTTAAATCTCAGTTGACAGGAATATTTTAGATAAACAGGCCCAGTGATTCAGTCGGTGAACTGTGTATCTCCTTAGTTAGATTTGTAAATGTTGAGTGAATTCAGGGTTATATGCATAGTTCTTTAAGTAAGATTCCGGGTAGTTGATTTGTAACCAGCAGTCTACCTATGAATGTATTCCAAACCTTTAGAAGGTTGGAAAAGTTTTTTTGAAGTAAGGATTTAGTTTTGTAGGAAAAAAACCCCCTTGGAAATTAATTCAGTTGACCCAGTAATATTTTTTTTAAACGATTGGTGGGTCCAAAAGGCCTGTCAGCAAATAGAAGTCCAGATTATCTAGTGGGACATTTTGAAGGTTTTATGTTGATTTCGGGTCCACTGTAAACTTTGCTTTGAACAAGAATTCGAATTTAAAGAATTTACCATGACTTAAATCTTGACCGAGTTTTTGCATTTTCATGGTGGTATCTTCCAGGTATGAACGAAGCAAGACTTTTTGATTGTGGTACTTCCCGCACCCCTGTAGTGCCAAAAGCAGTGATACTTTATTTGCTCCTATGGCAGCTCATAGAGATAACCGAAGTGATGTTTCTTCAGTAGTTGAAACACATAATCTCTAAATGCCAGTGTGTGGCGACGGGCCCTGCACTGCCTTCCATTTCTCCAGGGCAGTGTCTGGATTGTCCAGGGCCTAGGCAGTTCTGATAACTACTGTAAACCAACCACAGGACACTAAGGCAGTGTACACACAGCTCTGTGTGTGTATGCAGTGGGCTATATAAACCTGGGCTATGCTGGACGTCTGTAGAAAAGTATTACATTCGCTTGCACAGTTTACATTTTTGAGCTCACAGTTATGAAAAATACGACCCACGAGTTAGTTTTTCAGGCAGGCGAGGTCGGGTCTTCTTGCAGATGCGTGAGTTCTGTCCCGAGTCCTCGGAACTTCTTGTTGGTTGGGTGTGGGCTCATTCCCTGACTCTCCTAGTCACGTTCGCATCGGAATGTTAGCATTGTAAATAGAAGAATAGGTTGTATAATACACAACACTTGAACTTTACTTTAAAAAAATCGATAGTTCTACATATATATTTAGTTATATCACCTGACAGATTTCTTCTACACAATGTGGAGATTGTTTTATACCACAGATTATTTTTATAAAGTTAGTGAATTTGAATGATTTTGTAATCAGAGCTGATGAGCTTTACCTTTCAAGAGAAACATACACTGGAGCATGAGTGGTGTGGAACTTTCACTTAGCGCTCATATGGATTCCTGCGATACACTGGCAGACTGGAGTCAATTTGCGGGTCTCTTCTGGCCAAAACTCCACTTGTGGTTGTGTAGGACAGTGATACTTCAGCTCAGCTTGTGGATTGGGAGGAGAGAGGGCCAGCAGTGTTGTACATTGGTGCTTCTTCCTGAGGTTTCTGTTGAACAAAGGGTTCCGAGGTCAAAAATTAGTTTTTAAGCTCCTGCCATAGGACATAGTCACGTGAGAGTGTTTGGGGGAACAGAAATTGTGTAGGGGTGCAGATTGGGGTGGGGTGGGATGAGACGTGAATAAGGTTCGGCTACAAAAACTTTGAAATGGGAATCTGTGGTTTGAGGAATCCACCAAAGTGGATTCTCTAAGGTCACATTATCTAGGGTGGGGGACAGAATTACCCAGTTGAGTAATTGTTCAGAAACGGGGAGGGCGGTGTGTGGATGCAGTGATCCAATTCGGTGGATGGCTGCAGTGATCCAATTCGGTGGACGGCTGCAGTGATCCAATTCGGTGGACGGCTGCAGTGATCCAATTCGGTGGACGGCTGCAGTGATCCAATTCGGTGGACGGCTGCAGTGATCCAATTCGGTGGACGGCTGCAGTGATCCAATTCGGTGGACGGCTGCAGTGATCCAATTCGGTGGACGGCTGCAGTGATCAATTTGGTGGACGGCTGCAGTGATCCAATTTGGTGGACGGCTGCAGTGATTCAATTCAGTGGACAGCTGCCAGGCACCTTTTGTCCTCGCTGGTCAGGGCTCTTTTGGAGGTGAGAATGATTGGGTTGGCTTGCTGCTTCCATCCATGCAGTCGGCCAGGAGTCCAGAGAGGAAGCTCAGAACCCGAGTAACAGCAGGACATCTTTCAGATAGCACCAGAGTTTTCCTGCTTTTCTTAGGAAGTCCAGCATCACTGCCACAGTATGGAAAGTGCTCTTCATTTTAGCCTATTTATTGTTTGGCAGAGAGTGGATGGTTATTTGTGTGGGACTTTTGGTGGTGATATATTATGAATAATTAAGTTAATGTCTCATATTGATAATGGCCCGTCCTGAGGCCCAGCTGAAGACCTGTCCCCCAGACCCTGCCTGCTGGCTTCAGGCTGCTGCTTCCAGACAGAGGTGCACTGGATGGGAGGGATGGTTTTATCAAGAGAATCCCTAATGTGTCATTTTAAACCAGCTGTGTTTTATTCATTCTGGTTAAGCGTATAGGTTCACACTTTGCCCTTTTTATACTTGGAATGAATTTAGTTACCGCAGATCTAGTAGCACCCCAGAAACCAACCCCATCTGTTTCCCATAAAAAGAACATGTTTCTGCTCTCCAGCCACGTGTCTTGGGATGTAATTCTGCTGTGCCTTTGTTTTTGTCACTCTTTCCCCCAAAAGCAACTGCTGTAAGCTTTTTTCTACTTGTCTTTTCTAGTCCCCAGCCTCTACCTTTTTTCCTTTTTCCCAGCTCTAATTTCTGGATGCACTTCTGTGGTCCAGGTATTTTAAGAACCAGTTACCTCAGACCTCATGTTGAACAGTGTCGCCATCTGGGTCCTCTTGATACTGCAGACTTTTAACGTACATATGCAGGAACCCTGCTGAGCGTGGGCACTTACTTGTATTAAAGCAAAACTCTTCCCAAGGAATGAGGAAAGGGCTTCTGGCAAGCTCGTCATGGCACTGTGGTGGGATGGGTCTAGAGTGCCGTCTGAATGGTGCTTCCTCTGTTCCTCTTTGAATTCTGCCATTTTCAGTATTCTCGTGTGTCTGAATAGGCAAAGCGATTTAATTGGCTGGTCTTACACGCAAATTAGTTCCAAAGATAAGCTCTTTGTAACACATTTCCAGTCGCTAATGCTCAAGTGTAGAACATTCCTTTAAATGGCAGGATAAAAAACCCACCATCCACCATAGTGCATTTTGGGAAGATTTCTGTAGCATATGTTGCTGTGAAATTAGGCCTTGCGGGATATGGCTGTTTGTCATTTTGATGTATTTTAAATAAATATATATATTTTTTAAAGAGCCTTTTTTACCAGTTCAAAAAGTTTAATTAACCAGCAGTCACCACATCTGAATTTTTGTCTCTGGGGCATAGATGGCAGACCAAGATTAAAAGTGGTAACTCAGCCATGTGAGCGTGGGCTACCTTCCTGGACTGTCCTGCTGTCCTGCAGACCTGCTGTTCCACAGACCACGGGACACAGGGTCAGTGTGTTCCCAGTGAGGGGCCCAAGTCAGTGCTCTTAAGTGTTTGGTCTCTGCCCCATTCCGTGGACTGTTGACTTCAGTCCCTGCAAGTGCTTTAGCCCGAGTGGGGTTTTCTCAGAGCACTGCCGCAAGTTAAGTGTGTGTTTAGCCAAATAATTTCTCCATAAGGGAAAAATGCAATCACCCAAATTTTACCAACAATGACAGAGATGAGAGTAGGAAAGATGAGGCAACATCTGCGTTTTACTTTGGAAAGTGTCCAAGTCATCATGAAAGGCCGTCTGGAAGCAAGTGATTATTAGAGATTCTTTGGGAGACCTCATCTGAAAATGTTAAGACTGCCAGTGAGGGAAGGAATTGTTAAAATGCCAGCGGCTTTTTTCCTCTTTTTTTCTCTAATCTGTAAAAATGCAGAGAAAGTTGAGTGGTACTTCAGAATTGAGGGAGAGGGTTACCGCAGAGTAGAAACATATTTCTAGATTTCAGTTCCACACCACAAATCCACAACAATGCCATTTTTCAACTGTACAAAAGAATCTGCTTATGAACTTGACATGATCTTAATGGTAGTGTCAGAGGCCAAATTTTTCACCTGTTAATATTTTTCCACATTTGTCCTTGAATCTGAATATACAGTACTGTAAATTTAACTTACATCGAGTTTGATGTCAATTCTTATGAAAAGAGCTTTCTGCATGTGACACACATACAGTTAAAGAACACAGCAGAGTACAACATTTGCAGGCACAGGTTTGCAACCAACAGAAAACGTCACCTTTTATTTGCCATCTTATATATATATCAGTTTTACCAGCTACTTCTAAATTTGTACATTATTTGTAAGGGAAAGAAGGAAAACCCTAAGACTTGTCTAACTTAGTGGAGAATGTGTGTGTTTGGGCTTAGGATGGATAGCTAAGTCTTATTGAGCTGTGTTACCTAACTTGTATATAAAAATTGTAATTAAAAGTTTGGGTTCAGCTGTTTCTCACAGTTTAAAATGATGAGTACTTGCAAACTCTGGAAATGTGACTAGTGTATCATTTAAGGCTGTAGAAGCAAGGAAGCTCTTTCAAGTGCTAAAACTAAAGACTTCTAGTTTTTGGCTCAAATTCAGTAAGTACTGTTTGCATACCAGGATATGTGAGATGTAAATGTAGTAGGTCACTTTCCACCCTTGTAGCTATAAAATAAAAATTTTGTAGAACAGAAATAGCTTGTACTACTGAATTAACAGAAGTTATACTAAAGTTCTTGTTTTAAAAAATATATATATACAGAGTTAAGCTTGTTGCTGTTACCCTGTCTGGATTTGAAAAGTGTGCTGATTTATATATATATATATATTACACACACACACACACACACACACGCACGCACGCACACACTCTAAAATGGCCTAAAGCAGACATCCATGTAATTACAGTTGCAGAATGAAAACATTTTGGAAAGAACATTGTATCATAGTTCATTCATTTGCAGTGGATCTTTGTTCCTTTTTACTGTGGTAATTTTAGAAATGAGTGTCAAGTTTGAAATTAGATCTGCCAAGTTGGGGTTTTGCTGCTTGAACTCTGCACTGGGTCCTCAAATAAACCGATGTGAATGTAGTTTTTTCCCCCTGTGTGAAGAAGCAGTCACACCCCAACAATAGGAGGAAAAATCTAGAACTATTTCAAGTTTTATCTTTTTGTATATGAAAATAAAATAATAAAACAATCCTTGTCTCTCTTAATTATATGGCAGGGGACTGGAGTTTCCTTTCATGGGAATTGGAAATAAAATGGTGTTCCGCTGCTTGTAGGGCTGACTCAAGTCAGTTCCTCTTTGGTGTGTGTAACATTAACAGATGCTTGGCTGGACGCGGTGGCTCACGCCTGGAATCCCAGCACTTTGGGAGGCCGAGGCAGGTGGATCACGAGGTCAAGAGATCAAGACCGTCCTGGTCAACAAGGTGAAACCCTGTCTCTACTAAAAATACAAAAATTAGCTGGGCATGGTGGCACGTGCCTGTAATCCCAGCTATTCGGGAGGCTGAGGCAGGAGAATTGCTTGAACCCAGAAGGCGGAGGTTGCGGTGAGCCGAGATCGTGCTATTGCACTCCAGTCTGGGTAACAACAGCGAAACTCTGTCTCAAAAAAATAAATAAATAAAATAACAGATGCTAATGGCCGAATGCCTAGCCTGCTATGGTCCTATGGGGTTGGAGCTGAGCACCACGGGTCTCCATTTCTGCCATTCAGAAGTCCAGGGTCTAGTTGGGGATATTATGAATGGGGACTAGTCTGAAGGAACTGTTCCGGGATTTTGGGTAAGTTTCTGCAGGGTAGCATATTTTCCAAATGTCCAAGACGCTCCCCTGTTCCCCTGTCCTTTGCAACCAGACCTATACTTTACAGACCACCCTGAGTACTATTGTTTTAAGTGGCACAGGGAAACCTTGAAAATAAGTTGTATTCAGGACTGTTGCAGATGACAAGCTCTGCCATTCCCACATGTTGCTGAGTACTATTGTTTTAAGTGGCACAGGGAAACCTTGAAAATAAGTTGTATTCAGGACTGTTGCAGATGACAAGCTCTGCCATTCCCACATGTTGCTGAGTACTATTGTTTTAAGTGGCACAGGGAAACCTTGAAAATAAGTTGTATTCAGGACTGTTGCAGATGACAAGCTCTGCCATTCCCACATGTTGCTGAGTACTGGAGTCATCTGCTAAGCTATTAAAAAATACAATTATGGGTCCTTATCCCCAACCTGGAATTGGCAAACCAGGTTGCAGGTTTCAGAGATCCAGACTTAATCTCACTAAATGAATTAATGGTTCCGCAATAATAAAATAATGATAGTCTTTAATACCTATAACAAAACAGGAAGGCTCCAGAAATCACCTCACTGCTTTCTGGGCTTAACAGGTTTTTTTGGTCTCTAACTCGTATTCGCCTGAGTGGCGAAACATGCTTTTAATTCACCCTTTTTTAGAGAATTAAGCAACCGCTTGAAGCTTTTGGGGAAAGGTTTATTCAGGGACCAGTTGCCCAACATTTGGCTGTCTTTGCTCTTTCACATTTAGAAAGTTCACCTTTTATTAGTGAGTGCCCCCAATGAAGAAGTGCAAAGGGCTGACATTTTTGACACAGGATCTTGGAGCCGGAAAAGCTGAAAGGTTGGACCTTAGGAGTCATCTGGTCAAATTTTGCTTTTAGCAAAGGAATTTTTTCACCAAGAGAAATTAGGCACGGACTTGGTTTATAAAACCAGCTTGTCTCAATGAGCAAGTAGAAGAGGGCTAAAGGGCCATTTCACTTGCCCTCTCATCCCTCCTTAAGGAACCCCTGGGAACCCCGATTAAAGTTTACAAATCTCTGGCCCAATTCCAATTTTACAGGTGGGCAAACAGGCCTAGAGGCAGGCAGCCCTTCCAGTGGGACCAAACGGGTTACACTGTTGTTTGGAAGTAGTGGATCTAGATTAGGAAAAGCCATGTACCATTTATCTCTCTAGTATTTAACACAGCGTCTGGCACTTAAAAGGGCCTTGAGAAATAGGGTTCTTCAGTGATTGTGTATTTAGTAAATTCGTGGGAAAGCTGCTGAAGCAGCCTTGAAGCCACAGATACCAGTGTTGTCTGGTTGTATTTGTCAGGACTCGGTTGCAGGTGACAGGTAAGGGGGTTTCACTGAAGGGATCTTGGGGGAAATGGCTCAGCCTTCAGAAAGGCAGGATGCATGTGGTCTTCAGGAGCCTTGGGAGCTGCGGTCACAGCATTACAGGCCTTCACCTGCGTCCATTCCTTACGTTGTTGCTCAGGGCAAGACCAGATGTATGTGCTCCTTTGACTACTTAGCAGGAAATGAGGCTGTAGACGGTGCCAGAGCGGCTTCCTTTTTCTCCCTCCCTTTCTCTCTTTCTTTTGACACAGTGTCTCACTCTGTCGCCCAGACTGGAGTGCAGTGGTGTGATCCCAGCTCACTGCAACCTCCACCTCCTGGGTTCAAGCAGTTCTGCCTCAGCCTCCCAAGTAGCTGGGATTACAGGTGCCCACCACCACACCGGCTAATTTTTGTATTTTTAGTAAAGACGGGGTTTCACCGTGTTGGCCAGGCTGGTCTCAAACTCCTGACCTCAAGTGATCTGCTGGTCTCAGCCTCCCAAAGTGCTGGGATTACAGGCGTGAGCCACTGCGCCTGGCCCAGTGCCAGAGTTTCACGTCACAGCTCTGCTACCCGGAGAGAGTACCAGATCCAAAATCCCTAGGAAGGGCTCTGGTTGATGTAATAACCAGTCAGAGTCCTTCACAAGAGGTATTCCTGGCAGGGGGGTAGCCTCCCATCTGAGGCTGTCAAAATAATGTGTACACTTGAGTAGGTTGTTAGAAGTGGCCTCCTGCTCGGTGAATCATCAGTGGGATCAGATGAAACATATTCCTGCCAGTTACTTGAGAAATAGGAAACTTGAAGTTTCTGTTAAGAAGGAAATCCACACAGAAAGCTGGAGATTGTACTGCAAAATGAAGACTCACTCATTTGTGAGTGGTGGTCCATGAAATGCATCTATCTTTTCTTTGCCAGGAGGCATTTGGTAATCTGGATTTTATATTCTACCAAGACAAACAGTAGAGATGACTCAACATTTCTAACATTTATAGAGCACTTAATGACATGCCCTGGTACTGCCCCAAACATTTTGCGTGTGTCATCTCTAATCCTCACAAGAACGCTATGGTCTAAGTATTATTATTCCCATTTAAAAGAGAAGGCTGGGCATAGTGGCTCACACCTGAAATTACAGCACTTTGGGAGGCTGAGGCAGGAGGATTGCTTGAGGCCAGAAGTTGGATACCAGCCTGGGCAACATAAGGAGACCCCCTTCTCTACAGCTTACTGACCCCCACCAAAAAAAAAAAAAAAAAAAAAAAAATGAGCCGTGCAATGTCAGGAGCCTGTATTCCCAGCTACTCAGGAGGCTGAGGCAGGAGGATCGCTTAAGCCCAAGAGTTCTAGATCGCAGTGAGCTATGATCATTCCACTGTTCTGCAGCCTGGGTAACAGAGATCCTGTCTGTAGATGAAGACCCTGTCTCTAAATAAATAAATAGTCCTGAGTGGGAATATAGGCTCTGGAGACCTTAGTGCAAGCATGTGCAAGTGCTTACTCACCTATTCAATGGGACTAAAGGCATTTTCTTCTCAAGACTATATACAGCACACGACTGAGCCCTCAAAACATCATGCTCGCAACCATCGTCCGGTCCAGTGGACCGGGGATGAAGCGGGGGTGCGCCAGGGCGCCCAGGTGTGTCACCAGGGGGCGCGCGAGGGCCTCAGCTTGACGGGTGCCGGGGTGGGGGGTGGGGGTGGGGGCGTGCCTGCGCGCGCATGCGCCGTAGTGAAAGGCCGCTACCTCGAGCAAGATGGCTGCTAAGAGTATCGCTTCTCGCCTCTGGGACTCCCGACGTTTTCTGAGTGGCTTCGTGGCTGGGGCTGTAGTGGGCGCTGCGGGAGCTGGGCTCGGGGCCCTGCAGTTCTTCCGGAGTCAGGGCGCTGAGGCAGCGTTGGCAGGGAGGGAGCCGGATGGTAAGTCTGTGGGCCCGCCCTCCCTGCCCTCCCTGCCCTCCCTGCCCTGGCCGAGGTTTCGGGCCCCGACTCTTACCTGGGCTATGAATGGCAACCTTAACGCGCAGCCCTCAGCGTTGGCTGGGCCCCGAGCCCGGCCCTTGGTTTCGACCTTTTTTTCCTCCCGGCTCGGCCTCTTCTCCCCACCTCTCGTCTCGCCTGCCCCCCTCGGGTCCCTCCTTCCTTCCCCCGGGCATCTTCGCTTTCTGCGCAGGACCCTCCCCCACCTTCTTCCCCCAAATTATTCATGGTGGCATCTACGTTTTAGTGTCTGCGGCCTCCACGAAGATTGTTAGCTTCGGAAGACTGGAGGCTGTGTCTGTTTTGGCCTCCATCATCTAACCAGCACAGTTCCTGGTACATAATGGGCGTTCAGGCAGTGTGGATGAAGGAATAAACTGACACATCGTTTTAGCAGATTGGTTACCTAGCGGCCTTTCTGTCGTGACGGTTCAGTTGAAGCGTACCTGTTACCCCTTCAAAGTGTATAAATCCTCATGTTGCAATGGGTACCTTGCATTTGACCAAAAAAAACACGTGCTAATTTAACTTGCTCCTTCGGATACTTGGCATGTAGCAAGAGAACTACTCTGGTGGGTTGAGGATTTGAGGCGTCAGAGGAGGATTGTCTCGAAAGTGACTCACTATGGAGTGTGTGCTTGGTGTCTCCCACTAGGAAAAACAGTCCCAGTTTTACTGTTGTCTTGCAACGGGACGCGTATCAGTGCTTTAGAGGTGTTTTGGAGATTCCGTGTGAAAGTCCAGTAAGATCAAGCTCTTATTCAGAAGTTAACGCAGTAGTTGCAGTTTATCCACTGATTATAGGCAAATCAGTACTTTGCCAACTGTCTGTTTTCTTTGCCTCATAAGTCATTGCAAAAACGAGGCGCTCTGGTTGGTTAGACTCCTAAGCCAGTCCTTTGTAAATCACCCTTCTCCGTTTCCTTATAATCTTTCATTCTTGAGAGCCACTAATTGTTGCTGTTTTTTTCTTTGTCTCTGCCTTTTTTTTTTTTCATTCTTAGGATCTGCGGAAAAGGCTGTCTTGGAACAATTTGGATTCCCTTTAACTGGAACAGAGGCAAGGTGTTACACTAATCACGCTC